ACGACGACGAGCGGCTTGTCAAACAACCCTGCAAACAGATTCCGAAGACGAAGGAGACGCGAGCTCGGCGGTTCTTCGTTTCTTCGCTTCGGCTAGGTGCCGGGGTTGTAGAAGTCAGTGCGATCGGAACATTCGGGGTCAAGTAGCAGCGACTGAGCCTTCCCGTCGCCCACGGCTGGGGGCTTTCCAAAACAATTCTACGAGGCAATACATCTGGGAGAGCGGCGCCGGTGGCTCTTTCACCGTGCAGAAGGCCCACGGATTGTCGGTCCAGCCTGATGCCGCAAGCCGAATCTGGTGAAGTGCTTGCATCTTCCGTATGCAGACTGCAGGTTCAAGATTGTCATGTATCTTCGTAGCATCGTTTTGCTTGAAGTGTGGCCTGAGAGGACACCGAGTTGGTTCACGGCGAGATCAAGCGTGGCACCAAGATCATCTGCTACCTGAAGGAAGACCAGTCCGAGTTCCTGGAGGACGCTGAAGTTCGAGCATGTTGTCGAACAGTTGCCGACAGAAAGGGGTTTACGTCTGAGGAGGGACAAAGAACATGCCTGCCTGCCCACCCCAACTCCCGATCGCCACACCTCGAAGCTTTCGTATCGCACACGCAGCTGAAAGCTGGAAAGTACGCTCCCGACCTGTGACTCTTCGACACGGCATGCTCAGGAGCGACGCTTGAAGGACCTGGTGAAGAAGCACTCCGAGTTCATCGGCTTCCCCATCGAGCTGTACGTGGAGAAGTCCAAGGAGAAGGAGGTGACGGCCACTTCGCGGCACAGCCAACGCCCGAAATGACAAGCCCTGATCCCAGCCTTAGCCCCACCACACCAAACCACGAACCAACCGAGACCCTTCACCTGTTTTTGAGCCTTGGGTGCCCAGGACTCCGAGGAGGAAGAGGAGGAGAAGAAGGACGAGAAAGAGGGTACCGGCTGGGGGAGGGTTGAGGGGTGGAGCCGAGTGGGAGCTTTGCTTCCGGGTTGTCATGACTTGTCTCGGCTTTGGAAAGTTCTGATCCCGAGCGTCTGCCCGCCTTCTGTAGGCTGTAGGCGTGTTTGCCTTTCGAAGTTCTGTGCCAGGTGACGAGCCAAAGATCGAGGAAGTGGATGAGGAGACGTCCGGGCGGGGGGTTAGGGCGCTTGCGATTTTCCAGTTTCAAGTTTGGGGAGGGGTGGGGGCGGGAGATGTCCGAGCGTGGCAGCAAAATCCGGGTTTGCGCTTTCGATGTTCTCGGATCGCTGCGGGGAAGGAGAAGGAGAAAGAGGAGAAGAAAAAGAAGACCAAGACGCTCGGCGGACGAGTCGATGAGTGCAACGGCTCCGAAATGCTTTCCTAACATCCGTCGTATAAGCATCCAGCGGAAGAGGCAGTCTAATGCCTACGTCTCTTGATGTGTACAGTTCGTGGAGCACCTGTCCTTAAACTTTTCGCCAAGGAAGGTGAAGGAGGTCTCGCACGAGTGGGAGCAGCTTGGCGGTGGTCAGTTTTCCGTGGACTGTTGGGCAAAGGCTTTGAGGTTGCTTCGTTGCTTAAAACTTGTCACCCGGCTCTTTATGTCTGTAGGGTTTTGGAACAGCAGTGTTTCTAAGAAAAGGTCAGGAGTGTCTGAGCTTGTGACCGGCCGGGGCTGCAACCAGACTGTCCAAGAACCGTCGATGTGAAGCTGCTCTGCATGTCGTGAGGCAGCTGAACAAGAACAAGCCTCTCTGGATGCGCAAGTCCGAAGACGTCACCAACGAGGAGTATGCCTCCTTCTACAAGTCGCTGTCCAACGACTGGGAGGACGGCTCAGTCCGAGGGGTTGATCTCTGGCAC